ATTTGATTGCACCACCCCTGGTAACTGAGGATCTCACAGTGTAGAACGATCCAGGAGTAAGACCAGTACGGCCGTGGATTATTTTGTGGAACATTACCAAGTCAAGCTTCTTTCTCCTCCAACAAAGTGATCGGAGGCCAAGGTTGGTGTTTCTTTCGACATGGTTGGGGATGTCCCTGTAACTAAAGCCCACTACTCTGATCATAAGTTTTCTTGTGAAGCTGTTTTGCACTTTCTCAATCAAGTCAATATACTTCCGCTTGTGCGGACTAAACACCACTGTACCATATTCGAGCAGAGGCCTGACATAGGTTTTATACGCAAAAAGGAGAGTAGAGCAGTCACTAGTTGTAAGGGCTTTGAACAATCGGTAAGTAGCACTCAAACCACGATTGACTATAAGCTCACAGTGACTATCAAAGGACAGATTGGTAGTTATCACAAAGCCAAGATCCTTGACCTGAGGAACCGATGCAATTAGTAGTCCATCGATATAGTACGAGTACTCAGGGTTTCTGTGACCAATATGCAGAATCTTCGTTTTCTCTTTGGATAGTGGGAGGCTCCACTCAGCAGCCCAACTTAAAGCAAGGTCGACCGCAGATTGAATGGATTCCTTATCCTCCAAGGAGGCCACACTGTTATAAATTTTGAAATCATCAGCAAAGCCGCAACCTATCGTTTGCAGGGATCATGACTGTAATTCACTCCGTCCAGGCTCAACTGCTGCACATCTTCCAAGAACAAGGATATGACGAGTTTTTCTTTCAGCGGTCCACGAATCGTAAAGTTGCTTCGAAATTTCGAAACTGATAGCTTTACACTTGTAGGCGTGTGCATCGAATACGGTCACTGCTACGTGCACCACCCCTGAAATGAAAATCATGTTTACTGTTTTTGTCAAGTGCATAGCATTAGCTCTTGAAAAGCCCTTCTTGCCATCCAAACGAAATTAATAAAATTCGCACCGCACCATTGTTCGTTTCGTGAACTTTGTGAGGGAGCCTCTATAAAAGACGTGGGTATCTCATTATGAGCAACATCACTTTTTGACATGTGTTCGCGGGCACCCATGCTTTTATTTGTTTTGCTGGTGGTAAGTTTTTGCTTCACAGCTGCTTGTACCTACCTGACAATGAGTACTCTTTCAAAGGTGAACCACTCGTTCTCTCTAGCGCAGTCGAGTAACCCAGGATCGCCGGGTAACCCAGGATCGCCGGGTAATCCAGGATCGCCGGGCACAGGATCGCCGGTAACCCAGGATCGCCGGGTAACCCAGGATCGCCGGGTAATCCAGGATCGCCGGGCACAGGATCGCCGGGTAACCCAGGATCGCCGGGCACAGGATCGCCGGGTAAACCCAGGCATCGCGGGTAACCCCAGGAATCGCCGGATATAAACCAGGCATCGCCGGAAAACCAGGAGCGCCCGCGGCATCAGGACATCGCTCGGTAATCCAGGATCGCCGGGTAACCCAGGATCGCCGGGCACAGGATCGCCGGGTAACCCAGGATCGCCGGGCAACCCAGGATCGCCGAGCACAGGATCGCCGGGTAACCCAGGATCGCCGGGTAATCCAGGATCGCCGGGTAACCCAGGATCTCCGAGCCAACAGTCATCTACGGATGCTTCAACGGAATCAGAAACAAGTACGACTGCAACTACTGCTGCTCCTCGTAAGCTTTCAAGCATTTCTAATCGGTTTCAACGCACAATAACTTTGCATGGTTCATTCACGATGTCCTATGCAAACTTGTTGTTATACTGTCACCTTGTCAACGGAGGACGAGAGCCGGCTTTAGCAAGCTACTCGGCTGGCATTCTGATTAAGTTTTGATCAATATGGTATGATTGCACACACTTCCGGTCCACGAATCTAGTTAGAGAAGTGGTTCGTTACATTTTCACGACCCTCTCAACAGAACCCGATAATCTGGATTAGCAATATTAGTTGCCCATTACTCCACACAGCTTGCCTCAAACTTTGTCTTACTTTCTCTCTTCTGTCTCTTTGTTCGCCTATCCCACTCTTTTTGAGCCTGAGATGTACTGGGAGTGATTACGCAACCTTTGACCGCACTCATTGCCCAATGTCTCATTCAACTCATAAACCATTTTCTTGCGAATTCCATTTTGGCCCCTTGGACAGCTGTGGAGAAATGATAACGATTCGACAGAAAGCATTCATTTTAAAGGCACCCCGAACAGGGCGGACGAGTCTCAGCACACTTCAGACATATCCAATAGTCAGTTATTCTGCTATCACTTGATTACCCGTAGGATGCCCGTCTTCGCTTGGCAATCCTCGTTCCGCGTGTGTAATGGGTACTCCCCCAGTGCGTTTTTCCACTGAGGGCGTGGCATACTGTCTCAACCTTGTGTACTCGGAATCCCTGAGATCGGGTAGGCGTAGCTGCATGCTTCCACCTGACCTGGAGGAGTCTATGCTTCTGTTGAGACATTTCCATATGCTTCTGGTGAGACATTTCCATCTTGACACAATTGCTGTCGTGTCTCTGTCCAGCACAGAACAAGATGACAGTTGTCCCAGACTGGAATATTCCACGAGTAACCAGTTCCGTGCCATGTTCAAATGCCACGCTTACTCTGGCTTAGGGATAAGGTGTGTATATACCCTCCACCTAGAAGACAGTCGCTGAACTTCACTCTCCAGGCTCCTTGAAACCGAATTGCGAGCTCTCGAAATTTTCATAGTAAGCCCCGGACACCTGTAGCGCGCATCGCCCAATATGGGTGTGTCTCTTGTCCGACAACTGATAGTCTCTCATCCCACATTTTCTACTGTCCCGGCTCTTTTGGAAAAGAATTACGGATTTTTGTAAGAAGCGATTCCCGTTTTTGGTACGCCAGCCCACTACGGGTGCGTCTTCCTCACTACGCCCGTCAAATGATTACTTATCGTCTCCCACTTATTCTCTTCCCGTTGTTCTAGAACTGAGATAAGAAATTCTGAAATAAAGGTTCCTGGTCATGGGCAAGCTCCGCCCATAGTGGGCGGAGCATGGCTCAGTTCATGCATGGTCCATACATCTTGGGCGCCGAATTTCCGAACAGACGCACAGACAACCACGCACAGACAACTTCTTGTTTTTATAATATACAACTGCCCGGTAAGCAGAAGATGCGGGTTCGAATCCCGTCCGTGGTCCGACTTTTGCCCATAACTCAGCATTCTTGTGATAGCTTTTATATATACCATTTTCACTTTAAATTCGCCACTTTTCAAACTAAATCAACGCTTTTTGAGCCAAATTCACCACTCTCCCGATTGAATTTACCACTCTTATAAGAGCGGGCAATTCATCAACCGGATCACTCCAGACACCACTCGAGCTTCGTCCTGACGGCTGCGTCTACTTGTCAGCGGGGACATAGACTTTCAAATTTTGTTTCATAACTTCTGCTTCTGTGATTTTTTTTTGTCATTTGCTACTTCTCACAAACACTTTGACTGTAAACGACTGGACATCGACACATGAGTGACTCCGCCCATTCTTCAGAAGGTTTGTTGCAAAGTTCTTTCATCCAAAAATGCAAAAATTTTGAAAAAATATCAAAATTCCGCAAAAAGCAAGTGGGCGTGGCCGAGGGGGCGGGGCCCGCAGTAGTGTCTGGCGTGATTTGGTTGATGAATTGCGCAGCCTAATAAGTGTGGTGAATTCGATTCGGAAGGTGGGTGAATTTGGTTTGAAAAGGGGTGAATTTGGTTTGAAAAGGGGTGAATTCAAAGTGAAAATGGTATATATTCCTGCCAGTCGGATTCATATTTATATTTCTGCCAGTCCAGCTGTTGACGGGCGCTCCTCCCCCGGCTCGAAGTGCGCTTATTTTTTGGGCGTGTTAGGATTAAATATTTTTAGGCCGATTCTGAACGAAAATGGAGAAAGAAAAGAGCTCGCTAATTCCTACCTTTCACCCTGAGTCCCTCTTCTCTTACCTTAGGGACTGATTGCGACGAACTTCTCCTCACGCGAGATCCTTGCTCGAAACATCGTGGAGGTTTAGTTTCTTCCAGAAATTGGTTGATTTTTCCCGTTTTGGGCGCATGGTACCTACTCGTCCTTCCCCCGTTCTTTATCCAGCACCAACATGCGGTATGAGTGGAGATAGCTTCAGCGGTCAACTTCGCTTCCACTTTAGTGGATGAGGGAATGAGTTAACAGTGAGCACTGAGTTACTTGCCTATAATACGTAAGCTCCAGAGGCCGCAATATAGACTTGAGAAAAGTAATAAGAGCAGCATCTTATTAATGTTTACTAACTGATATCATTTTTTGTCACCTGCCATCAATTCCCATTTCCTCAACCTTCGAGTTTGACAGTGAGTAGGCATAACCGCTCTAAAAAGCGACAATAGCGACAACAGTCCTTACCATTCCCTGTCAATTGTATTAGGTTGTCCGGAAAGTTCTCAGCGTTTTGTGCACCTATTTTTTGTACATTCACTGCTGATTAAAAACTCATTCTGCCTTGCTTCTCAGTAGCACATCCTGTAGAGAATTTCTTGCGCTATCTGATGGTATAATTGCCGTTTCACCATTGCTTGATAAACCCCCTTTTTTCAAGATTTTTTCAAGCATGTGAAAAGAGCACTTCGGACGATTTTTTTCTTCGACTATAAATTGGGGCAATCCGCAATCGAAACAGCTCAACAAATTAACCAGGTGTGGGGTGC